TGAAATCTGTATTGTGCGTGCAACGCGTCTGCAGGAAGTAAGCAACGAGACGCGCACACGCATATAATATACAGAGGCGACGTTGCTTCGTTTCTCAACGCAATTCGACGATCTCGCGTCTATATGCGCGCCTCGTTCCCTTCCATCTCACGCGTCTCTCTTGTAGATGTACGCGTGCATCATCATCATCATGATCATCATGATCATCATCATCGTGGGCTCATATTCGCGTGTTCCATACGCCTTGCTCGTGTGTGCATGTGCACACGAGGCAGCAACAGCAGCATCCGCTCCCCTTTCTGCCTCTGTTGCTGCGGCTGCTGTTGCTGCTGCTTCTCTCGTGCAGGCTCCGATGATAACTACCGTGGCACGTATGTATACAATATTATACGTATACGCGAGAGAGAGAGAGCGACAACGACGCGACGCGCAGTTGGCAGAAAAAAAACCATCGCTCGCTCGTGTGCTATACGACTGGCGAGCAGCGGCGTGGCTGCCGCGCTGCACTGCGCACAAGCCTCTGAACACAGGCCCTCGTATATATATATATATATATACACACAAGACGCTTTTCTGGTACAAAACCCGATATGGAGGTCAGTTTTCTGGTAAATTGGCACTTATCTGGTAAATACCAGAAAAATTCTATATGCAACACATTTTTCTGGTAATTACTTGAAATTGAGTTCTTCGATTTCTGGTAAACCAGATATGTAGTTTTTAACTAATCTGGTAAACTAGAAAGCTGTTTTAGTATTTATGTGGTATTCCAGAAATTCATTTATCTAGTTATCTGGTATCCCAAAATAAATGTAGGTATAAAAATAAAATTTATTAATAAGGTAAGTAAAAGTTTTTAACATTATCATCACAATACTATAGTTCATCAATCTTGCGCTTCCAGAATCTCTGAATCGAAATATCAACGACATTCAACGTTATATAATGAGTCATTTTAAAAACGATATGAAAAGTACAAAGACCTATTATCACCTTAGAAAAATTACTAGTCTGGACTCAGATTAATATGGTCATGAATTTTTGGAAAAAAGATCTATACATTCGTTTTTGAAGCCCAATATGAGCCTTTTTTTATGAATGATTCACGCTAAACGATCCTCATTAGCTCTAGGTGGAAGATACTGAAACGGTGTCAACAATAACGAGACTCCATTACAGTTTGAAAAATATAAAAAAGTTAAACATCGATAAATGGTATGTATTAATAAAGTTTTCAATTACACGCGAAACAAATTTAAATGTAATTCAACGAATATTTATTGATGTAATTAGATTTCGGTACGTCGTGCAAATTCGGTTTCTCTATTACTTTGATGTTTTTTTCACGTAAAATTATTTCTCGGATTCTTTTAATTGATGACAATGATAACTTTTCAGATAAATGTATGCAGGATATCATGCGTTGAATCCATAATGAAACTAATATTGATTTTCAAAATGTGTTAGAAATAATTAATACGTAGGGTAGTCAGACCAATCAATGACTGGGTACCAGTAAATGACCATTTTAGAAAATATCATATGAAAAACAATTAAAAATAAATTTGTATGGACGTAATTCAGTCCTTTAGTAAACGATGCAACTTGATTTCTATGTTCGATCATAATTTAACGAGGAAAAACGATAATTGTTGCATATCCAAAAGTGGTCATTTATTGGTCGAAAGCGGTCAATCACTGGTGTAAGTACCCTATGTTGTAATGGAATATTTAACTACTTCTAGAGCGTGTGCCAAAATAATTTAACGAAGTCCGACTGAAGTAATTAGATTTCAGTACGTCGCGTAAATCCGGTTTCAGACCAATTCCATCGTTTTTTCCTTGTCAATTATTGCTTAAGAAAGATATTGAAATAATTTTGACTATTTAAATGACGGTATACGAAGTTTTATTTGCCAAAGACATAACTATTAACATTGTTAATGAAGTTAAGAACTTACACACTACTTATCTAATGCACTGAGCTTCGTGAAGGGGGACCAGGGAAACCTCGGCAGAGAAAAAATTTGTCCAAAAAATTTCAAGATACTTGACAAGTCAAAAATGAATGATGATAAACACTTGCTAAAATGATACTTTAGGTATCTATTGAAATAATTGAGATTTTTGTGTGTCGTGCTAGTGCGGTTTCAGTCTTTGTTTTTGTTATACCAGTAGAAAAATATTGCTTCGGACGGCAACTAATACAATTTTGTCTTTTTAAATAAAAGTATGCATAGATTCATTCATGTAAACAATAATATCATCGATATTTTTGATTCAGTAAAGAACTTACACGACAATCTCCTAATGCTCCAAGCTTCGTAAGCAAACTGAACATCGGATCCGACCAGATTTGTAAAAAAATTTGCAAAAGACTTATGAGTCAGGATTTAATAATTAGAATGTTTGAATTAGGTATTGATTAACTTACAGATCATTTTTTAGGTTGATACATTATGTATCTTTTAAAATAATCGACATTCTGGTGTGTCGTGCAAATCCGGTTTCGGCCTTATTTTTCGATATACTAGTGAAAAATTATTGCTCCAGACGGGGATTAATGCAATTATTCCTTTTTAAATAAGATTCATTCATGTAAACAATAATATCATCGATATTTTTGATTCAGTAAAGAACTTACACGCAAATCTCTTAATGCTCTAAGCTTCGTAAGCAAACTGAACATCGGATCCGACCAGATTTGTAAAAAAATTTGCAAAAGACTAGTAAGTCAGGATTTAATGCTTAGTATTTTTAAATTGAGTACTGATTTGCTTACAAAACAATTGCAAGGATGATACTTAATAAATTTATGGAAATAATCGACATTCTGGTGTTTCGTGCAAATCCGGTTTCGGCCTTATTTTTCGATATACTCGTGAAATATTATTGCTCCAGACGGGGATTAATGCAATTATTCCTTTTTTAATGATAGTATGCATAGATTCATTCTTGTTTGCAATAGTAAAATTATTAATTTTAATGAACTGGAGAACTTACACGCAAATCTCTTTATGCTCTAAGCTTCATAAGCAAACTGGACCTCGGCTTTGAGCAGATTTGTGAAAAGAGTTGCAAAAGACTCATAAGTAAGGATTTAATGATGAGTATGTTTAAATTAAGTTATGATTTGATTAAAAAACAATTTCTGGGATGATACATACTAAATCTATGGAAATAATCGACATTCTGGTGTGTCGTGCAAATCCGGTTTCGGACTTTTTTCTCGATACACTCGTGAAAAATTATCGCTGCAGGCGGGAATTGATGAAATTATTTCTTTTTTAATTTTAGTATGCATAGATTCATCCGTGTTAGCAATGGCGAAATTATTATTTTTAATGAATTGGAGATTTTCGAGAAATCTCCTCGGTCTCTAAGCTACGTAAGCAAACTAAACCTCGCCTCCTACCAGATTAGTAAAAAAATTTGCAAAAGACCTATAAGTCAGGATTTAATGATGAATATGTTTAATTTGAGTTTTGCTTCGTTTTAAAACAATTACTGGGATGATACATAATGAATCTATGGAAATAATCGACATTCTGGTGTGTCGTGCAAATCCGGTTTTGGGCTTTATTCTCGATATACTCGTGAAAAATTATTGCTCCAGACGATGATTAATGAAATTATTTCTTTTTCAATGATAGGATGCATAGATTCATTCTTTTTTGCATTGGTAAAATTATTAGTTTTAATGTACTGGCGAACTTACTCGCAAATCTCCTAGATCTCTAAGGTTCGTAAGCAAACTGGATCTCGGCTTAAACCGGACTTGTTAAAAATATGCTCAAGACTTGTAAATCAGGATTTAATGATTAATATGTTTAAATTGGGTATTAATTCGCTTCATAACATTTGCTAGGATGATACATTGCGTTTCTATTAAAATAATTAAGATTTTTGTGATCGTGCGAATCCGGTATCGGCCCTATTTCATGTTTTTTCGTTTGTATAATTGTTGTGATGGACCCGAATTAATATTATTAAAACTATTAGAACAAAAATCGTTGAACGCTGTGAGCTGCGAAATCGGGCTGGACTTCAGCTGTGATAAGATTTGCCAAAATTTTCTCAATTACTTCGTGTGTTAGAAATTGATATATGTATACATGAATGGAGTATTGTTGTGCTATAATAACATGTGCTAGGGTATTTTGTCAGTTATTCATTGTGATAATTTAGTTTTCGGTATGTCGTGAAAATCCGGTATTGGCCCTATTTTATGGTTTTTTGCTTGTAAAATATTTGCCCCGGACTAGAATTTATATAGTGATTCCTTTTCGAAAGATGAAAGCGTGTCAGCCATCCGAGGTCAGAGGTAGTTTGCGTCCTGTCGGCCGTGCCTCAGGAACTTTTCGACGACCCCGACATAGCCGGCGAGGCAGGCTACGTGAAAATGCGTCAGGCGCGTCTGACTCACATAATTCGCCTCGTGTTAGTCGTAGATGCTGAATAACTTGGGGAAGATCTTGTTCACGCGAAAAATCGTGCAGATGATTTTAGGCATGTAGCCGGCCGCCGCGTGCAGCACCGTGACCCGTTCCAGCATCCGGCTTGCCGTCGCGATCTTAGTGAGGGGCGTCGTCCTTGTAGCTGCTTATGTACACGAAGTCGATGAAACGCTCGCCACGGTGCTTGTGCTCATCGCCGCAAAAACTCACGGGTTCAAAAGACTCATAAGTCAGGATTTAATGATTAGTATGTTTAAATTGTAAATTTAATAGATTTATTCGTGAAAGCAATAATAAAATCATTATTGTTTTTGAACCGGAGAACCTATTTAATTATCGTCCTATAATGATTTTTGATAGGAGAACTATGCTTAATAATTGCTGTGCATTACGAGTCTTGAGGACGGTTAAGAACTAAATTGTGAAGACAATAATTTATTGTTATTTTTCAATTATATTTTTAACAGATGAAACAAGTATCATTGAACGAGAATCTAGTTAAATAATAAAGATATTGATCTCTTAAGTTTCTTAAGTATGACATCATGTTCTGTAATCTGGAAACAAAAAAACTAAATAAATTTTTGAAATGAAAGTTAATTTAATTTAGACTTACAAAGGTGAATTTTTTTGTGTTTCCAGATCGTTGACTTAGAATAATGTCCCTGACAAGTAGGACATTGAACTTTTTCAACGTTAGAGGCATTCTTCTTGGGTTTTTTGACAGGGATCATGGTCCCAGTTATTTCAAAGTACATTCCATAACCTTTGCTTCTTAGATTTGATAAAATGGCACTTCTCAATTTTTTATCTTTGCATTTCATCAATTTTTGAACATCTTTCTCGTTACTGTGTACGCTCTGGATGTGATCAGAGAATCGACTTTTAAATTTTTTGCAGAAAGGGCAAAATGGTCTTTTTTGTTTGGGAGTGTCATTTTTATAATTATCTAAAAATAAAAAAATGTAAATGTTTGTATAGATAAAATAAAGTTAGTATAGATAATATGATAATATAAAAGCTGTACCGGTCATTGACTTTTTGTAGTCCTCCAAACTTATTTTAGGCAAAATTACTTTCAATATTTTGTCAGTTTGAATGCTATCAGTAGTCCTCCTCTTGTTCTTTTCCTTATACAGATACAGTTCAGACTGAAATGAAATGTCTGAAATAAAATACAATGAGGGAATGAATAATATTCTTTTATTAAATTTGAGGAGCAGGGGTTATGGACTCTAGCATGAAATGACTGGAAAAGTCATCAAAGTTGATTTTTACAGCTCAATACTGTAAAAGGAATGTTAAAAATATTTATGCCCCCTTTGAGCCCATAAGTATAAGCTTCAATTACCTTCGTTTGTTGTTGAATTTTCAAATCCAAAAAAATCTGCTTCCAGAGTAGAGTTAAGTTGATCATATGATGCATTCTGAGTGGAGTCGAGTTCATCGTTTATTGTTTCCAGAGTAGAATTAAATTCATCATGTGATGCTTTCTGACTGGAATCAAGCTCATCATTCAGTACTTCCAGATTAGTATCAAGTTCATTATTTGGTGCTTCATTTGATATCTTTATTGTATCAATGGGCTTGCAAAATGAGCATTCACAATTTTTATTATCACTGTCAAAGTAGTTATCTCCATAGTAGACAAATAATTCCTCTCCTTTTTGGATTTTCTTCAAACTTCTAAGTTTTACATAACTTGGGTTTGAAGATACGTATTCACAATTTGGTTTACAGTGATGATTGATGAATGCTATTGTGCCTAAAAACACACATGACTTCCTTGACGAATTAATCAAAATAGAGAACTGTTGATCATCTTTGAGCATACTTTCATGTTCATTTCTGAGTGGTTTATAAATACCAAATACACCTTGTATTATGGTTTTTTCTTCAATTTCACATGTTGCTACAACTTGCAGGCCTCTGTGATTTTCAAGAGAATATTTAAAGCAATTTTCTAAGCAAATACTTTGATTTTTGAAAAAATTGATGTATAACTTTATATATAATTCTATATGTTTTTGATTTAGAATGTTATAATGCTCTGCCAAGTTGAATTCCTTAATTATATTGAGAAATATTTTCAAGATACAATCCTGCTCAAGTTCTAGAATTTTAAGCACATAATTTTTTGTCCAATATAATTCAAACTTTTTTATTGGATTAATATTTGACTCTTCCCTCATCATTTTTACACCAGGATATAATGGTTTGATTAATAGAATTTTCAATAAATCATCTAGCTTACACAGGAGATTTGCATCCATTGCGTTAACGCTTCCTTTAGTTTATTTCACTAAGATATATACTAACAGGTTAGTTTTAACACCAGTTGGTGACACTTCAAAAGTTCAATATTACTTTACTATTATTCTCTAAAATTATTCACAGGTTAGTTTTAGCAGCAGCACGTGACACTTAAGATTAACTTATGGCTGAAAAATTGCCGAGAAATTTGCATATTACAATATTTTGGCGTAATACAATTGCCAGTTATATATTTCTTTTAATATACCACTACACTTCAATGCAAGTCTGATTCGGGTTTGTGTAAAGTAAAACTCCTTGGTCGTCCGTCGCAAAATGTAGGTTTCGACTGAACTGTGCAACGGTCGAGTGGCGTTCACAGTCGAAGAATGAGACTTGATCAACGAGTAGAAAAAGAAGACTGAACTGCGCGGAAACTCCGTCACTCGGCGAGGCGCTGTCAACACCACTTCTCGAACGCCTGCGTGGTGTGCTCGCTTGATTCAATCTCACACCACACTGTGCGTGTACAGAGCCAAGCCGAGTGACGGAGTTTCCGTGCAGTTCAGTCTTCCTCCTCTGTTCAAGCAGCTCACGAATCGAAGCGTCTATTTTGCAACAGACAGTTGATCGAGTCTCATTCTTCGAATGTGAACGCCCGTCGACCGTTGCACAGTCTAGTCGAAACCTACATTGGAGCAACCATTTTGCGATCTACTGACAAAGAGTTTTATTCATTTGTAATAGAGTCAATTCACATAAACGCGAACCTAATTTGCATTGAAGTGAAATTAAAAAAAAATATGTAACTGGCAATTGTATTACGCCCAAAAAATTTTAATACGCGAATTTCTCGGACAGAAACCCGTCCTACTAATCGAATTGGAGCAGCCATTTTGTAACCGACTCAGCTCGAGTGTAACATTTGTTATAGTGTGTTTGGAGCGGAGTGAAAAAAAATACTATCGAAACGGATACGAGCTTCGAAAATATGGACGAAAACGTTGATTCAATCATCATCGATGAAACAAAAAAGAATGAACCTGATAAAAAAGCTTGTAACGAAGAGGTTAATTTGAAAGAACATGGTAAAATATATTCTCTCATTTTTTCGATTTGCATGAATGATATGAAATGGTATTTGAATTTTTTTTAATATTAAAAAATATTTAGCGTCGCTTAGATGAAACGCATTTCTCTAGTTCGAAGCTCTTGTAAATATACCCTATAAAATATATATATAATTCACAATCAAGAAAATTTTCGGTAATTTCGGTATGTCGTGCAAATCCGGTATCGGCCCTTTTCATAGTTTTGGCTTGTAAAATTTTTGCCTGGCACTGAGATATATAAAATTTTGACTTATCAAATGACGGTATGCAAAGATTCATTCGTGATAGCCATAATAAAATTGATATTGTTTATTGAGTGGAAAACTTAAACAAAAATCGTCCAATGCTCTGAGCTGCGAAAGCGAGCTGAACTTCTGCTTTGATAAGATTTGCCAAAATTTTCCGAAATACTTTTTGTGTCAGAAATTAATATAAGTATACATTGATATATAATTCTGTATAAATTTCGGTGTATAGATCTGCTAAAATAATATATGCCAGGGTATTTTGTTCATTATCTATTGAGATAATAGAGATTTCGGTATGTCGCGTAAATCCGGTATCAGCTCAAATTCATGGTTTTTTGCTTGTAAAATTGTTGCTCCAGACCCGAATTAATATCATTATGACTTTTTGAAAGATGGAAGCAAAGATTCATTCGTAAAAGCCTAATAAAATTAATATTGTTTATTAAGTGTATAATAATTCCCGATAATCGTCACTTGCCAGTTTTCATTTGTTTAGAATAATTAAATCACCGACTTATCCAATTATTGATTTTTCTCATGCTTTTTAACCTTTTGTAATGATCATTAATAACAATAGCTGTAAACAATTTTAAAATCAAGTAATACCCCATTTGCACGATGCAGCGAAAATCAAACCTCTATTTGCTTCGAGTAGAATGCTCATATTACTTTCTAATTTTATAAATGTTTTTCATATGTTTAATAAACAATTTTTATATTTATCGGGGATTAAAATCTTGATTTTTTCATCATCTTTGTTTCAGAAACATCATTGGATCAAGTTTCAGAAGTGGAAAACGTTGAAAAGATTGAAGAAACGCAAGTAACAAAAGTTATGGATAAATTAGAACTTTCAAACACCGTTACAAACTTGTTTAATCTATCTGAAGACTTCGAAGATGCAAATGCTAAGACATTTGATACATTTGATAATGAATCTGATGATATTATGTCAGACCAAGATATTGAAGGTTTTACATAAAATATTGTTTATGCAATAAATATTTAATGTTAAATTTTTTTCATGATAATTTTTATTTATTTTTTAGAAAAAGAGAATTTACGCACAGATCTTACTGTAGGATTGCCAGAGATTTCTCCTATTCCATCTGGTTCAAGGACACGTTCTGGTAGATGCATTAAAAAACGTCTATCGACGCAGATCGAAGACGAATCAAGTGAAGAATCTGTTGATGAAGATGAATATCATCCAAATGGTAAAGAAGATCAAGATTCTGAATCAAGCAGTGACGAAGATGTAGAACAAGTATCAAATAGAAAAGGCCAAGATGATACACCTACGGAAAATACCAGTGGAAATCTTCAAGCGAGCACTAGTAATGAAAGATGCCTAACTATGAATCAAATCGTTCCGTATTCATCGGAAGGTGGTAAATGGTACCAAAAGAAGAATTTTTGTTATTATTGCCATACTATGCAAACAAGAATTGATATTCATTTAAAAAATGCACACTTGGACAAACCAGAAGTTTTACAGGCGTCATTAATGAAACCCAAGTCTAAAGAAAGACGTAATGCGCTTGGTGCAATTCGTTTGAAAGGTAATGATTTTTACAATAAAAATAAAACTTTCAACCCAGAAGGAAAAATCATAGCTTCTCGAAGGCAAAGAGTGAGTAAAAATGGTACTCCCTTGAAACCTAAAACTACAAAAAATAAAGCTTTCCCAATCAAAATGATGTGTCCATACTGCGATATTTATCCTGCGTATAAAAATTTGCAAAACCATGTAAGGAACACCCACGGCGTATCACATTTTTCAAATACCAAAAATACGCTTGGCTTATCAAAGAAAAAAATGGGCTTATGTCATTTAAGAGCCTCAGACCTCGTAAAAGATCACATTTTACCGAAACTCAAGATGGATAGCATTGGAGCCGTTGCTCGCATGGACTTAATGATTATACTATATGCTAATAAATTCGTCATTCGTTATATGAATATCGACCAACAAGCTTATGTTCGAGCGCACATGCGATTATTAGCCAAGCTTTTAATAGCAATCACCTCCATAAATTCAAAGCTAACCGACTTAATAGATGTCTTTAGACCTGTATATTGGCCTATAGTTCTGGATGCAATAAAATTGGTATCAGAATACGACGCAAAAACAAATCGATTTGCGGTTATTTATAATGCTGAAACAATTCCGATTCTACTGAGAAAGTGTATCAAGATTTTGAAAAACGAATTCACTGTGCACGAAGATAAAGAGAAATTGGAATATTTACTAGGGTTTGAATCGGTATTCGAAGATGATGTGGAGGTACAAATTGCATATACTGCAAATATTGGTCGCAAAGAATTCATAAGACACGGCGAAGAGAAAAAGTTACCGGAAACTGAACATATTTACACATTTGAGAAATTTTTGTCTTATAAACGCAATTTAAGTATGAAACATTTTGATTCCGGAAAAAGTGAATATGAACATTATTTGAATATTATGCAGACTACTGCGGTAAGAATATTAATTTATAACAGACGGAGACCCGGAGAAGTCAGTAAAACTTTATTAAAAGATTATGCTCATGCCAAAGCAGCTGATCCAAGCAGTGAATTTTTTAAGCGTTTAACTGAAGAGGAACAAAAACAAAGATTAAAATATACTCGCATTGATATCCAAGGAAAAAAGCTGACGGAAAAGGCTCTCTCTACATTACAGACGAAGATAAAACTGCTATCGAACTGCTTTTACGGTACCGACAAGTATTCAGAATTAATCCGTCAAACATATATTTATTCGCTTTGCCAAATGATGCTACAGGCGTAGATAGACATGTTAAAATAAGTGAATTACTAACAAAGTTGAGCAAAGAGTGTTCTCAAACATTTAAAGAGATGGATGACAAAACAATGAGGGGAAATCTGCTGCGCCAACATATTGCTACGTACAACAGTACGACTAAAGATGGTGAAAAAAATCGTACTACTCTTACCGGTCATTTGGGTCACTCTGAGAAAGTTCATAATAAACATTATAGAAGAACTATTGATGGAGAGGACGTTTTGGTGACCCAAATTTTAGATTCTGCTAGTAAAATGAATGACAAGGATAATACTAGCAATATATCAGAATTCGACGAATCAAGTATAACTTTAAACAGTTCAGTAGTTGACTCGAATACAAGTGAACTCGAAGCATCATTAAATGCAGTAGAAACATCTGAACAGGATTCGACTGCGAATTCCTCTATGAATGTAGAAACTGATGATTCTGAAAAACATTATGTACCTTTATCAGATTTTAGACTATCATCTAAGAGAGCAAAGTCATTCAAAAGTCAGTATGAGCCTTCACCTAAGAAAGCAAAATTACACGAAAGTAAATCTATGAATCCACCAAGGAAGAGTCAATCAAAAATCAAAAAGTCCAAAGAATCAAAAAATTCATCTATGAGAGAAATGGTTACGAAAAAAAGTAAGTAAATTTCAATATTAATCGATACATCGGTATTTTAATTTTATTATGTTTCCAGATTTTGCAACGAGACGAACATGGATATGAGGATGAAAAAACTCAATTTGAAAAAGCTTTCGAAATGGCTATCTGCACAGGCAGATATCCTACTGCAACAGAGATCCGTGATGCCCAAAAGAAATACCCGTCACTTGCTGAAAGAAGTGAACAAACGATTCGGACAAGATTTTCAAATCATTATAGAAAAAATGAAGTAATTAAAAATTCTAAACCTAAGAAATACGGTAAATATTAATAGTATAAACTTTTTCCACTATTACCATTATTTTTTAACACTATTTCCTATTATTATATAATGTAACGTAAATTATATTTTTGTTTGGAACATCGAGAGAATAAAATTGAGATTTTCTTGTCATTAGCTTGTAAAAAAAGTCTATTAGGCCTAGCCAACTTTTTTTAATTAAAATAAAAAAAATGTCAACATTATTGTTTATTTATAGCTTGGAAAAATAATACTAAATTTTCTTGTTATTTGCTTGTTAGAAAGCCGATCTGGCTGAGTAATATAAATATTGTTTATCAAATAAATTTGATGTTAATTTAAATAAAATGATGGTTATTGAGTAACGTTGGTAATAAAGAGCTTTGATAAACACATAATTTTTTTAATTCTTAAAACAACTTACAAGTATAAAAAAGTGCGTCTTAAACACGTGTATATTGCTTCATAAACGTACTGGACCTCGACACTGACCAAATTTATCAAAAATTTTAAAAATGCTTATAAATGATAAATATGTTACAATAGAGTGTTAGTTTGCTTCATCAACGTATGGCTTGATTATTCATACAGTATCTATTAATTAGGTGAAGATTTCGGTATGTCATGCAAATCCGGTTTCAGTCCTATTTCATTGTTATTTCCTTGTAAAATTGTTGCTCTGAACGGGGTTTAATATGATTTTAACTATTTGAATAACGTTATGCAAAGTTTTTTCGTGACCGACAAAAATTAATATTGTTAGTTGAGTAGAAGAACTTACAAACTAACAGTATAATGCTCTGAGCTGCGTAAGCGTAGTGGACCTTAACTCTGACAAGATTTATCAAAAATTCTTGCAAATACTTGATAAGTAAGGATTATACGATAATTATGTTTCAATGGATTGTTAATCTGCTTAAAGAACGATTGCTAGAATAATGCATAAAGTATTTATTGAAATAATTAGGATTTTGATACATCGTTTAAATCAGGTTTCAGTTCTATTTAATCGTTTTTTCCTTGTAAGGTCATAGCTTCGGACAAGGATATAAAGAATTTTGACTATTTGAATAACGGGGTGCAAAGTTTTATTTGTGGAAGACATAAAAAAATTCATATTGTTAATGGGGTAGAGAATGAACATAATATTTTTCCAATGCTCCAAGCATCGTAAGGGCACTCGACCCCGTCTCGGACGAGTTTTGTCGAATAATTTGAAACGATTAAATATATCGGGAATTAATGACATATTTTAATAGAGTGTAAGTTTGCATACAAAAACGTATAGAAGAATTATTCATTTAGAATGTATTGATATGATTGCAATTGCGATATGTTGTGCAAATCCGTTATCAGCTCTATTCGATAGTTTTCAGCTTGTAAAATTATTGCCCCGATCCCGAATCTATATTATTAGGACTTTTCAGCTGATGGTAAGCATAGATTCATCCGTGAAAGCAATAATGACATTATAGCGTTTATTGGGTAGAGAAGTTACACACTATTCGTCTAATGCTCTGAGTTTCATAAGCGTACTATACTTCGACACTAACTAGATTTATCAGAAACTTTTGAAATAACTTGATGAATCTGGTATAAAAAATTAGCGAAAGACTAATAAGTCTGGATTTAATGTTTAGTTTTATTAAATTAAGTGTTAAGTGCTTTCAAAACAATTGCTGGAATGATACATAATAAATCTATGTAAAAAATAGACATTTTGGTGTGTCGTGCAAATCCGGTTTCGGCCTTTTTTTTCGTTATGCTCGTGTAAAATTATTGCTCCGAACGATGATTAATGCAATGTTTCTTTTTGAATAATAGTATGCATAGATTCATTCGTATATGCAATTGTAAAATCATTAGTTTTAATGAAGTGGAGAACTTACACGCCAATCTCGTAGCTCTATGCTTCGTAAGCAAACTGAACCTAGGCTCCGACTAGATTTGTAAAAAAATTTGCAAAAGACTAATAAGTCAGGATTTAATGCTTAGTATTTTTAAATTGAGTACTGATTTGCTTACAAAACAATTGCAAGGATGATCCATAATAAATTTATGGAAATAATCGACATCCTGGTGTGTCGTGCAAATCCGGTTTTGGCCTTTTTTTTCGTTATACTCGTGTAAAATTATTGCTCCGAACGATGATTGTTGCAATGTTTCTTTTTAAATAATAGTATTCATGGATTCATTCGTGTATGCAATTGTAAAATGATAAGTTTTAGAACTTATACGCCAATCTCGTATAAGTTGAGAACTTATACGCCAATCTCGTAGCTCTATGCTGCGTAAGAAAACTGGACCTAGGCTCCGACTAGATTTGTGAAAAAATTTGCAAAAGACTAATAAGTCAGGATATAATGCTTAGTATTTTTAAATTGAGTACTGATTTGCTTGCAAAACGATTGCAAGGATGATCCATACTAAATTTATGGAAATAATCGACATTCTGGTGTGTCGTGCAAATCCGGTTTCAGCATTTTTTTCGTTATACTCGTGTAAAATTATTGCTCCGAACTATGACTAATGCAATGTTTCTTTGTAAATAATAGTATTCATAGATTCATTCGTATATGCAATTGTAAAATCATTAGTTTTAATTAAGTGGAGAACTTACACGTCAATCTCGTAGCTCTATGCTTCGTAAGCAAACTGGACCTCGGCTTCGACAAGATTTGTAAAAAGATTTGCAAAAGAGTAATAAGTCAGGATTTAATGTTAAGTATTTTTAAATTGAATACTGATTTGCTTACAAAACAATTGCAAGGATGATCCATAATAAATTTATGGAAATAATCGACATCCTGGTGTGTCGTGCAAATCCGGTTTCAGCCTTTTTTTTCGTTATGCTCGTGTAAAATTATTGCTCCGAACGATGATTATTGCAATGTTTCTTTTTAAATAATAGTATTCATGGATTCATTCGTGTATGCAATTGTAAAATGATAAGTTTTAATTAAGTGGAGAACTTATACGCCAATCTCGTAGCTCTATGCTGCGTAAGAAAACTGGACCTAGGCTCCGACCAGATTTGTAAAAAAATTTGCAAAAGACAAATAAGTCAGGATTTAATGCTTAGTATTTTTAAATTGAATACTGATTTGCTTACAAAACAATTGCTAGGATGATACATAATAAATTTATGGAAATAATCGACATTTTGGTGTGTCGTGCAAATCCGATTGCGGCCTTTTTTTTCGTTATGCTCGTGTAAAATTATTGCTCCAGGCGGGGAATAATGCTATTTTTTTTTTTTGCATAATAGTACGCATAGATTCATTCGTGTAAGCAACGTTAAATTAATTAGTTTTAATTAAGTTGAGAACTCAGAACTGTGTCGTTCAAATCCGTTTTTAGTCCTATTTTACCGTTTTTCCTTGTAAAGTTGTTGCTCCGTACGGGGTTTAATATAATTTTAACTATTTGAATATTGATATGCGTAGTTATTTGTCAATGCCATAATAAATTCAGTATCGTTAATGGAGTGGAGAATTTACAAAATAGTCTTGCAATGCTTTAAGCTTCGTTAGTTCATTGTACTTCGACTTTGACCAGATATGTCGATGATAATCTAAAAATAATTGAGGATTTAGAATGTGCTTTTTTTAAAGAGTGTCTTAATTGCACTAACAATGTTATTCAGGATGTTTTTCGAAATCTAGTAAAATCAATAAGATTTTGTACTCGACCGAATCTCTGACCTCAGCAAAAATATGCAATAATGATACATCTACTGTTATTCCACATTTTGATTTGCTACTTTTTATTAATAAATAATAAGTTGATAATAAATTTCATTACAGGGGAGCTTAATTTTCATAACAAGGCATATTATATCCAATACCAGAAAGTTTTTTATCATATTTTCTGGATCACCAGAAAGCTGTTTTACCTAAGATCTGGTAATCAAGAAAGCCTTTTATCTACAATTCTGGTATACCAGAAAGTGTTTTTAAGAGATTTCTGGTTGCTCGATTTCAATATATGTATGTACCAGAAAAATGTATAGCGTATATAAAAATTACCAGATACAAGCTTACCAGAAAAGTGTGCTGCACATATATATATATATATATATATATCCAAAAAATTGGTCGTTTTTTACGATTTCGCACGTTTTAAGCCTTTTTTTACATTTTTTACACATTCTTCTTTTGTGGCGTGCACCAAGTGCCCGTTCTGGCCTCTGTTGGAACTTCTTCGGGAAATTTTTTTTTCTCCTGTTCTCGCGGATGAGTTTGTGGTGGAGATCTTGAACGCGTCGACCTGGTGCACCGAGTCCCCGTTCTGGCACCTGTTGAAACTTCTTAGGGGAATTTTTTTGTTCTCCTGTTCTCGCGGATGAGTTTGTGGTGGAGATCTTGAACGCGTCGACCTGGTGCACCGAGTCCCCGTTCTGGCCCCTGTTGAAACTTCTTCGGGGAATTTTTTGGTTCTCCTGTTCTCGCGGATGAGTTTGTGGCGAAGAACTTGAACTTTCTTTTATTTGTTGATTCTAATAAAAATTCATTAATCCCATATTCGAAAACAATATATCAAACTAGATTTTCGACCAAGAAAAAAATGTACATTTGAAAATTATTATTTATCTTAAAGTAATGTAAAAGAAAAAGATATTAATGTTTATGAATTAAAAGCAGACAAGTTAGTTATTTAAGTATATAATTACAGATAAGTCAAGTGAACGGGTACAATGATCTTTAGTATTTGTCTGTATTCTGTGAAAGATTTTCATCGCTAAAATGAAAATTAAAAAATTTATAATAAAAAAAGAATCGAAAATTAAAGTATAAAGATTGTTGTTCTCAGGCCATGGAAATTTTTTATCAGAAACCTTTATTATTTCGACTATAGCGTAAACGATTGCTTTCTTTAAGGAAACACACCTGTGTTTATGCCTATAAATGCAAAAGCATGAAAATTAAGGATTAATATTAAAATTTTTTGTTTCGAAAGATAACATATGTTTTTGCAGGTTTTTGTACAACAAAAAATATGTCTGTGGATCCTATTATTATTAAAATTCA